CTGAGCTGCTTTCTTCCTCCACACCATTTCACCATGATGTCCTGCCTCACCTGGAGCTCAGAGCAATGGAGTTGGCCAAGTATGGACTAAGACCTCTGAAACTGTGAGCCCCAAAATGAACTTTTCCCTCCTTTAATTGTTCTTGCCAGGTCTTTTGGTCACAGTGTCCAAAAAGCAGACCCAAACAGGAAGTAATTAATAAGGATTTAATAATCCTAAATGTATATGCACCCAAAAACAGAGCATCCAAAATATATATGAGCAAAGCTAGTAGAACTAAAAAAGGAAGGAGACTAATCCACAATTATGACTGGAGATCTTCATATCCTTCTGCAATAAATGAGAGTTCTAGTAGATAGATTATCAGTAAGGGTACAGATGACTTGAATAGTGCTATCAAATTGATCTAACTGATATTTATAAGGTATTTCATACAACAGAATAATACACACTTTTCTCAAGATATAAAACACGCAACTCATTTTGAAAGAACAGATATACAAAATATGGTCTCAGATGACAATGAAATTAAACCATAAATACCTAATGAGCGTTAAACAACTAATAAGTCAATAATACAAAGAACTGGAATATTCCAAAATATTTGTAAATTAAACATAAACTTCTCAATGACTCATAGATCAAAAACTAAGTCTTAAAATAAATTTTAGATATTTCGAACTAAATGAAAATACAACTCATTAAAATTTCTGGGATGAAATGAAAGCATTATTTCAAAAGAAATGCACAGTATTAAACACACATATTTGAAAAGTTTTATACACACACACACATACACACACACACACACACACACACACACACCCCTAAACATTCACTTTAGGAACTAGGGAAAGCACCTAATACAAGCACATGATATAACATCTGGCTTGACATATAACTAATAACCACAAATGCTAAGGGAACATTAATTATTGCTATTTTACAAATGAAGTTATGAAGCTGCAGTTATGAAACTTAAAATTTTCAAAATATTGGTGCTTTCTATTGTCATACTTTTTCCCTTTCTTCAGATTCAGTGAACCCCAAAACTGACTACACAGAGAAGTCACATGAGGAGCCTTAATGAAACACCAGACCCTCTTTTTGAGTTTGAGTCAGCCAGAGGTGGGGATTCGTGTGACTGTAATTTCACTCTCTTAAGGGATTCCAATAAACTCAAGTTTTGAACAATTGCTATAGATTCTATCCTCTTATGGAGGTATGTTTTTTTATATGGAATTCTTTCTTTCATTGTTTGTTTCTTTGTTACACAGTAGAATGCATTTTGACATTTGTATACATACCGTATACAAAGGGAGCACAACTTCTCATTCCTCTGTCTGTACATGGTGCAATAATAATTTCTGTTTCATTCTACCATCCTTTCCATCCCCACAGCCCCAACCCTCCACTCAATCCCCTCTACACAAACCAAAGTTCCCTCATTCTTCCCTATCACCCTGCCCCACTATGGATCAGCATCCACTTATCAGAGAAAACATTTGGCTTTTGGATTTTGGAGACTGGCGTATTTTACTTAGCATGATATACTCTAATTCCATCCATTTACCTACAAATGCCATAAATCCATTCTTCTTTAAGGTGGAATACACAATATTCCATTGTGTATATGTACCACATTTTCTTTATCCATTCATGCTGAAGGGCATCTTGATTGGTTCCAATTGTGAATTTAGCTGCAATAAACATTGATGTGGCTGTGTCACTGTAGTATGCTGATTTTAAAAATCCTTTGGGTATAAACCAAAGAGTGGGATAACTAGAGCACTCATCTCCAGGATATATAAAGAACTAAAAAAACTTTACATCAAAAAAACCCCAAATAACCCAATTAATAAATGGGCAAAGGAATTGAACTGACACTTCACAGAAGAAGAAATACAAATGATCAACAAACATATGAAAAAATATTCATCATCTCTAGCAATTAGAGAAGTGAAAATCAAAACTACTCTAAGAACAAGTATTGGCGAGGCTGTGGGGGAAAAGATACACGTAATTATATGAAATTCTTTAAAAGTGAGAAAGGTGTGTCTATGACTAGCAGAAATTATATGGCATTATGAAGGGATGAGATGCTCCACATGTATAAATTTCTCATAAAATATAAATTTCCCCTTTTGAGCACCAAATTGGTTTTCAGTAAGTCATCTCAGATTCAAATAATTCTTTAATGGAATATTAACATTTTTTAAAAATATATTGTTCTGGAGAATTGCATGCAGGTCAGCAGTAGAGTGTTTGTTAACATGCTGGGGACCCTAAGCTT